TATTGGCAAATTGCTTACTTATGGATCAACCCATTTTCGTGTGGTTGATTCTTCTCTCATAGAATTTTTTTTTTTTTTTTTTTTTTGGGCTTAACTCTTATTAAAGTGTTTGTATCTATAAATTCGGCCTCTCCCAAAAAAATGAGTTGAAACAAACCCAAAACCTTGTTAGGGTTAAATTTAAAAATAAATAAATAAATAAAATTGAACCATTTCTTGATTTGTGCATGTCATCCTTGCGCAAGGTCCATGCTAATCTTCTTTGTATTATTCCAATTTTATGAAGTGCCCCCAGAAAAATATTTCTTCGTATTTGCTTTATAAACTTTACAACTATTACATAACCGAGTGATGTGGGAGTCTAGTTACATTCCAATTAGTTCCGCTGTTTTCCAACCAAAACACCTTAGACCAGAGCCACATAAAGATAAAGCCCAACAGTGTCTTTGTTTTGCAGGCTTTTGGGTAAATTGGACCCATCCTACCAACTGCACTAATAGGGAGATGGGAAAACGCCCTTTACAGTCTTTATAAGGACAAATAATGTAAAGCACAAAAGCGAGCTCCCCAGCTTGGAGATTGGTTAAGCAAGACTGCGAAGTTAGTGTGGGTTTAAACTTGAGATGGCAACAATGTTGTTTATAACTTCAAAAAATAACATTCAAACTTAAACTGGGATAGGTGGGGGGTGGGGTGCGCCAGGTCCTGGCTGTAGTGCAACGCCTGGGCGACGCATGAAGCCCCAGTAGCAAGCTACTGTGATGAGCCTTCCCCCTAAAAAAATTTAATTTAATATCATGTGAGCCATTAACTGACGTATCAGATATTAAACTGATAAGAACAGATACTACACTTGATCTTAGCCAAAAGGCCGAGAAAGGTATGCTTTGCGGAGTGTTCGAGGTTAAATTTTGTTTAACGCTGCTCGATGCACTTACGCTTAAAGTTTCGATGTGGGACAAATTAAAAGTAGCAGGAGAAAACACTATCAATGGGGCATAATCTTTGCCTTGATGAACCTCATCTGTTCCTAAAGAGCATTATCAGTCTTCAAAAACACTATTTAGCTAAAATGATCTTTCATTTTGTAGCATCTGGTGTTCATCTCCACAATCCAAGTTCTAAGTTTGATCATGTTTTCTGGGTTGATAGCCTTATTTTCATCATTGATGTTCCAAGTGCTATAAAGAATCTTGATATTGCTTTGTATTAGTCCAAAACTCCTTGAACCATGAAGATTAAATCTAGTTATAACCAAGATGATTTTCAGAAACAATAGAAACAAATTACAATGAAATTCCACATGCAAAAGAAAGGGAAGGAGGATCTAGTCATACGCGAAGGAATTGCTTGACAAAAGCGTGGTTCCCCATCCCTTCTTGAGGGCCTACAAATCAACTTAAGCTTACTTCTGCATTATGGATTTCTTCTTATTCCTTAGAGATTCCAAATTTTTCGTTCTTCCACATCTACAGCAGATAAGAGCCACATACAAAACTCAAAAACATTGATCAACAGAGTTTTCTTTCACAAATTTACACGATGAATGGTGAATTTCTTTCATCCAGCGCCCAGCGCAAGGCTAAACAGCCTGTAAACTTTAACTAGTATTGGTGGGGTGCGCCAGGTCCTGGCTGTAGTGCGACGCCTGGACGACGCTCGAAGGCCCCGGTAGCAAGCTACCGTGATGGACCTTCCCCCTAAAAAAATTAATTTAATATCATGTGAGCCAATGGCCCACGTATCAGATATTAAACTGATAAGAACAGATACTACACTTGATCTTAGCCAAAAGGCCGAGAAAGGTATGCTTTGTAAAGAATTTTAGAATTCCTTTTATATCAAGTCCTCGTCTCCCACATGCTAACGGCTTCGATGTGGGAGAAATTAGAAACTGTGGTACGGAAACCTAAGAGACAAATTTCTATGACTACAGTGGAAATCTGCTCCAAAAGGTATCATTAGATTCATCCAAAATGCTATTTAGCTAAATCAATCTTTTTCCTACTGCATTTCGTACTCCCCACTAGAACAAAAGGAAGAGTTCTGAGCATACTTTTCACTAGAGTAATAAGAAATCTTGCCCTGGATTCTGCTAGAGAATAGAGCCAATGAGAACCTCGAACTGATTGAATCGTATATTTAAATGTTCATTGAAGATTAACTTCTGCAGTTTCTTTGATCTACCCGAAATCTTAGACTAGGAAGCATGTGAGTGAATATAGTACGTGTAGTGTGCTTGTACTTGTGTGAATTTCACAAGGGTGAGGGGCTATGAACATCACCAGAATGCATGCATTCATATCATGTACCATGAATAATGACCCTGTCTCCATCCAAATTGCCCTATCTACCTTATTTTTCTTTTCCCTTACACATATAGGTCTGTACCAATCTAAAAACACCCATCAATTTCCTTAACCTTGTTATTGCACCCCTTAGGACTACAGCACACTTCTCTAGTGTTCACCACTTTCAACACCAATAACCACTACATCACATTAGCACAAACACCACACTGAACAAAAGTTTAAGCATTTCAGAGCTGGTGCTCAAAACTCACAAGCTTGATCAGATTAAGAGTTCAACAGAACCAAAGACCTGAATTTCAATTGTTAGAGCTCTATTGTTTAAGAGATTTACATATGGAAAATATAAAGGAATCAAATCACTCAAGTTTTAAACTCTAAATTGAATCAACAACATCAGAATATGAATCAAATTAAACATGAAAAGGATTAAAAAAATTGAAAGCTAATTTAAACAGACCTGGAGGTGGAATTTTTGTGAAATGCAGAAAGATTGGCAACAGAGCTCACCAGAGTTGGAAATTGCAATCTGAAGTGGAAAAAGAAAAAAGGAAAAGAAAAACATCAAATTAAACAAGAAAAATCACAGAAAATAAGGATGTTTAAAACAAACTTTAAGATCAAAATTTATGGTGAAAATTTTAGAAAAAAAAAAAAATACCCATTTTTTGATTTATGTGTGTCATCCTTGCACAGGGACCGTACCAATAACTGTCGCTGCTCTGTTCTAGCTTATAAATGCTGTTACTGAAGTGTAACTGATTAATGTGGGACTCTTCTTTGTTTGTACCAATGAAGACATTCACAAGGGCTGAAGCCACTCTATGGTCCACACTCCACCACCTTAATGCACTTATGCTTAACTCCATCTTAACACAAAAGCTTCTTAACCTGAAAATTGCTTGAAAAAATAGTTAATTCAGAAAAGAAGGCAAGAATTGGTTACAATGACAAGATTGTTAATTCATAAACTGATTTGGGAACCTAATTAAGTTAAACACCTCAATCGAAATGAACCCATTTGTCAGATTGTGCAGCTTTGTTATACTAAATTTATCTAGTTGCTTCTAGTTCAAAAAAAAAAAATAAATTATCTAGTTGCTTCTACTGACACCTTCGGACTGCATTTGACGATGTTTTAACAGGATTGGATTCTGCCATCAGCATCTCAAAAAGACAAGTTTTTCTTTTAGCATTAAAAAGAACCAACGTTCATAAAATGTGGCTTGCAAAAAGGAAAACTTTATTCCTAGTAGCCATCACATTTAATTGAGTGAATTCTTAACAGCCAAACAAGAGAAAGCAACACAATCACACCTTCTATTTTAGTAGCTGATATGTGCTACAATGAAATAACTTCATCACCTTTCAATTTTGGAATTCAAATAGACAAAAACCAAAAAACAAATTTTGCATCAAATTACAATGAAAAGTAGACAAATTAAATGGGCAAAAACCCATTGCAACGCAGGGGAAAAAACAGACCTTTAACTTGCAGGTGTCAATCTCACAGAATCCATTGCAATATGCTTAAAAAAAACCCAAGAAAAAGAGTTGGAACTTGGAACAAAATCAAAGCTGATTTAGGGTTGCAGATCGATCTGGGGAGAATTGAAATTGGGAAAAAAAAAATTTGGACCATTTCTCGATTTGTGCGTGTCATCCTTGCGCAGGGGCCATGCTAATCTTCTCTGTATCGTTCCAATTTTATCGGATGTCCCCGAAGGGACATACCACGCTCTTCTCTTCTCGTTTATAAACACTGCTACTATTTTCTAACGGAACGATGTGGGAATTTGGTTAGATTCCAACTAAAGTTTAGAACTAGTTGGGTTGTCTTCTAACCAGACCATCTAGGCCCAGATAAAAAGCCCAATACATTGTTCATTTCGCCGGGTTTGGACCCATGACATTAAATTACACGAAAATAAGACTGGAAAATCAGGTTTTTGGAGTATATGTCTATCTATTAATAATTGGAAATGTCAAAAAATATTACCACACTTCGTAGCAATGTGCTAACAAAGAGATGGTCGCATTAAATTTAAATACAACTACTTGAATTCAACTTCTTCTTGCTTTGTTTCTTTCTTCTTTTTTTTCTTTTTTAGATTATTACTTCTTTCTATCAGATTTAATTATCATTGTTTAATTTTTATATAAAATTTGATTATAAAATTTTATATATTATAAGTAAATTATAATAACTGAAAATTTTTTCTTTTTTATA